GTCCAGAGGCGTGTTTCTATAGTTCATTAGAGCAATCCATGGATTCTCACATCTAAGTAAGCGCTTCGCCTGCCGGACCGCCCGCTCCGCGCATCCGTTAGCCTGTGGTAAATATGGGTCAGAAACACAATGCATAATGTCACAAAATTCAATAAAATTCCGAAATAAAACTCCCGCAAACTGTGGTCCTCCATCTGTAACCAAAACTTCTGGGAGACCAAACCCTGTCTCTTATACACATCTAGATGTGTATAAGAGACAGGTGCAGGGGCCATACTTTCAAAACTCGCTAAGTGAACGTATGTACTTGCGCTCTATTTTCTTGTCTATGATTGGTGGATTTTGCTTGAAAGGCCGTCAATGATTGGCTGATGAACTTACGATCTCTTAACTTTTTTTGAAAGTATGGGGCCAGCTGGCCACTTCGTAAGACTTACAGTAATAGCCAATGATGGTGTCATCCATGCACCGCTGGAACACGGCGTAATAATCGTTGATATCTGATAAGTAAAGCTTCACCTGATCGTAGTCTTTCGCCACGCTGAACACTGCGTGCAGAAAATCAATATTTTAACGAAATGTTTCCATTCAGTGTCGTTAAAATATGAACTCTAATCGAAGTTAAGTATTAGGCATAGGACTCTTCAAAGTGTCATCAACACATGAAATCTAATCGAAGTTAAGTATCAAGTATATTGTAATCATCAGGATACAGGATAGTATGTACTTTATTTTGCTTCAAAGTGTCATCAACACATGAACTCTAAACGAAGTTAAGTATTAAGTATATAGTAATCATCAGGATACAGGATAGTATGTTCTTTATTTTGCTTCAAAGTGTCGTTAAAATATGAAATCTAATCGAAGTCATGTATTAAGTATATAGTACTCATCAGGATACAGGATTGAATGTACTTTGTTTTTCAGTTATATGATTTAGATTGAAATGAAAATCGATGTTATAGCATCCAAATCTAAATGGGCAGACCTATACAAGGAAGTAATTTTAATAGATACGTATTTCTTCACCTATGTATCAGCTTTCTAATGAACAAGAGAGCTAATGTTAACTTTTCGTGGAAACATAATCCATATATTCTATCATTACAACTTTTACTTAAAGTGGAAACACAAAAATTTGTTAAATTACTTCAAAATCAATGTCGCTGCTGAAATCTATTGATTAGAGCGCAAAATATTAGAGAAATACACATGAAAGAGAAATGCACAGACAAATACAGAGGGGAATACACGTGATCAGAAAAATACACAGAGAAATACACATTATATTTTCACAATTAAATGAATGTGAGGGAGGGACTCACTGTCTTTTGGTGGGCCTGTTATGGTGAGGGTGTAGGGGGCGGTCGTGGTAAGAGTGTAGTTAGCGATCCTATTTGTAGCCGTCGTTGCAGTTCCGCTGTTTGCGAACAAAGATTTAGCATAAGTCTTGATGATCCCGTTGCTATAGGTAGCTGGAGCCTTTTTCTCAAAACTCGTTTAAGCTTAAACGAGTAGTACACTTGGTGGTCTAAGTACACTCTGCGGCCTAAGTACAAGTAGCGACTTACGTACATGTAGTGATCCAAGTATTGGTGTAGTTCGGCAGAAGCTTCTCTTTTACGCAAGTTTGATTGAAGACCAGAGCATGCTTTTTATTAACAATCTTCTTGTTCGTCTTTTCAATGAGTCGAACCAAATTTCTAGCTGGAGCCGAGAGATCGNCCAGGCAATAAGTCCAGCAGCTATCTCAATCAATCGTCAGTTATGGAAATATCGGGTTCCAAAGGCCGGATCCCTTGTGAATCATATCACGATAAGTTCAAGAATCGGCAACAGACCATGGGCCTATTTCTTCAGCGCCGACACTTCTATTTTATTCTATATTGATATTACCAGAGTCTCCATGCACATATAACGACCAATGCTTATCTCTGCTACGGCGGCCAACATACAACAAATTTTGTCGCACTCACTGCGGCTTTGACGGCAGCGTCAGAGGGCAGGCGGGTGGAGCTGAAGGTCCCAGGGCAGCCGGCGATCCAGGCGCTATGGGCGGCCGGTGCCAGCGTCACCAGCAGCAGCGAGCCCAACACGAACGACTTCATCATCCTACGTGAGCGGGACAAGTTACGTGAGCGGGACAATCATCCTACGTGAGCGGGACAAGTTACGTGAGCGGGACAATCATCCTACGTGAGCGGGACAAGTTACGTGAGCGGGACAATCATCCTACGTGAGCGGGACAAGTTACGTGAGCGGGACAATCATCCTACGTGAGCGGGACAAGTTACGTGAGCGGGACAATCATCCTACGTGAGCGGGACAAGTTACGTGAGCGGGACAATCATCCTACGTGAGCGGGACCAATTGTTAAGTTAGCTTACAGGTCACTAAATTTGATTAATGTTATGTAGCAAGCTAAAAATTATATTATAAAACAAACCTCAACCTATCGATGACCAGACTCGAAAAAACATCAACTGATGTACCAAGTAGCAGGAATATAAAAATGTTGGCACGTAAAAATGAAAATAAAGCATTGAGAACAAATCTTACCTTGTAGTTTTGATGGACCTCGAACAATGAAGCAAGTCACTCGAAATGCGCACCGACCAGCATGAATTCACACATTAGAGTGCGGTACATCTGTCCACTTCGATGCAGACCTCGCATTCCAGCGACACCTGCCAGATGGGTATCTTAAGAGCCCGCTTCACCCAGCCTTCGATATGAGTTGCACTAGTTGCGATTTTCCATCAGTCTCATTGGAATGCATTAATTAAATGCATTGGAATGCATTAATTAAATGCATTGGAATGCATTAATTAAATGCATTGGAATGCAATAATTAAATGCACTGGAATGCATTAATTAAACATTTTCAATTAATATGGTTTTGATCGGTAATTGAATTTCAATGAAAACGTGGTTGTCCGCATTTAATATCGAATATGATATAGTTACCAAATACTTACTTCATCTAAAAATTAGTGAAAGAAAACTGAATGATATACTTCGAACGACGCATTCACATACATCACCCTAATTTCTCGGTTTAATTCCGCTTCATTGACATTTTCGAATTATTAGTTTGTGCATGAATTCTGTAAAGTTAAACCACGTAGACGTAAACATGGCCATACATTTCATTCGGGATTGTTTTCAGCTGTAAGTAAGAACAGTATGCATACATAAGTGAGCATAACGGTTACAAGCCTCAAAGTTAGAAATGGGCTCCTCGACTCTACAAGTTTTCTTTAGCAGTTCACCAAAGAAACGTGAGTGTGAAGTTTTTGTCATCCAACTATTAGGTTATTAGGTTATAATGCACGTATAATGAATTGAAAGGGGAGTAAAGAGGAGTGCAACTTTTTAAGTTTGTATAAGAAACTATTTTGGGCTGCATTACAGAAAATCGTATCCAAGTTTCATGTAAGAAGCCACATGCATCACGTCAAGATTACGCGCTCAGTAACCACGGTATAAATTCGTGGTGTAGTGAAAGGTATCCCATTGCTTAAAATAAACATAAACATTTCTCCAACATGAACGCCTATTTTAATAAATGTTTGAATTTGCTAGTCTGAAATCCTGTCATTGGCAGTCAGAAATGCATAACGCATTAGAATCACAGATGCCCGGATTCGAGCGAAATTTGAACCACTTTACCATTTACTGTTCCAAATGTCGTCTACAAGGAATTATTCACTAAAAATTTGGAATTTTGCCGTAGTCGAAATACGATTCAATGGCAGAGGGATTGGCATGCTGAACTGCACGAAATTGCGACAAAAGACGTATTCTTCAATATCAATATCTTGCGTTGAATATACCTTGCCTGCAGTTGAAGTAGTAATATGATATTTTGATATAAGTTTTTAAATGCTATCTAAACTGTAATAATTTATTTCATGAATTTACACCAGCGATTGGAGGTGTTTGATATTTCGAGGTGTAAATTTGAAAAATTAATTTACTCTGCCCAATATTTTTGAATNAATTATTTTTCATGCAGACGTCTAATCAATAATTTCAGCGACTAATCAGTAATTTCTGTGTCAAATCGATAAAAATTCAATGCTCTCTGAAGTCGCATCATGGCCGGGTTGTCTTTCATATACTATGTGTGTGCAGGTGCTACAGTATATAGCCTGCTCATCCAGTCGTACACTTTTGGCTTATACAACGCAGATATTATTTGATACTGATATTGCTTCATGCGATCACATATTCTGAGGACTACGTATGCACATCCACCATGGCAGTACAAGTAACAATGTCAGACATGTAGCAGGAACAAATTATCACAGTACCATACACATACCTCGTGAGAAATCGACTTGATGAAAAATCCCTGCATGCTGGATTCGAATTCTGATCTTTCTCGGACGAAGCCAACCAAGCCTATGCCGTTGAGCCATCGATGAGGACTTCGCGTTAGATTTATTTTAAGAGACTACGTAATTATTGAAATATTTCAAATACTGCAAATCTCAATTTCATCATATGACAAAAGTTAATGCTACCACCTTGATGATCGGATAGTTCCGGTAGTCATTTTATTTGAGCATGCTGTTATATTTGAGTAAACAGCCCTGAAAGAAATTTCGTTTATTCATAACGAACGATGGTTTAGCTCAGAGTAAAGGCTACGGGAAAATGCATGATAAGTATCGAAGTTTCATAATATGGACAACACACCAATTTTGACAAAGATTCGACTCGAAATATTTTCGCCAAGAATATTCTTGCGTGAAATAAGGAATTGATATCACTCGATGCTTTAATTAACTCGATGATTTTTTAATAAAAATTAATTTTAATAATTTAATAATTAAATTTCACTATCGAAGTCAGCTACAGAAAACAGAATTTTCACTCGTATCCCTCTCAGTAAAGAAGATACTTTTTTTCACATAAAAATTACCCGGATGGCAAATATTTCAAGCAGGACATGATAAAAATTAGTTGGAAAGACGCTTAACGCGCGCCAACCCATCAGGTCAACATGACAGGTATCAACGTTATCAACGTGTACAGGCTCGCTGGCTGCGCTTTAGAGATGCCGAGCCGCTATCGATTATGTCAACGTTGCTTTAGATAAATTAAATTAAATTAAATTATTTAAGAATATTGTAAATATGAATAAACACACTTAATCGATCCATATAATTTACAGACCTAATGATATAATAAATTAGCCTCTATTGATCGCAATATATCAATCAGAGTTAGGAAAATTGTATTAATTCCAAAATTTTTTATTGTTCTTCTGACAATTAATATGAGGAGTAGTCTGATACATGCCCAATTAATGGCTTCACTTTGCCTTGAAAAATTTGTAAGCACCTTGCTTCTGTCTGTCAAATTTGCTCGTATCTACCGAATTCACGCTGAATTCACTTCAAATAAAACTCTTACAAGCCATACACTCAGAACGAAGTCGTGGTTTCTTCTTGATCTTGAATGGCCTGCAACCCAATAACTTCCCTCTACTTTCGATAGAATATAGTGGCAAATTCCTTCGTGCACTGCGTAGTTGGGGTAAATAAATGGTTATCGGTGGCT